TTTTTTTTTTTTTTTTTTTTTTTTTTTAAAGCTTCACTCCCTCTTTTATTATTAAAAAAAAAAAAAAAAAAAAAAAAAAAAAAAGGGCAGGAAAAAGCTACACATTGCAGCGAGGCGCAGCGGCTCTCGGCAGCTCGGAAGCACAGAACCCCCGGCCGCCCCGCTCCGTCCCCTCCCGACCCTCGGCCGCTCCCCCCGGGTCCGGCCGTGTCCGCACCCCGCCGAAGGGCACCATGCGGAAACGAGAGGGGCTCGAGGAGCGTTTCTCAGCGGGATGCATACGCGCCGAAAGCGATCTTTCTGAAAAGCGATCCCGCGGGTTTTACGGGCGGGTTTACGAGCGGCGGGCGCTGAGGGGCCGGGGCGGGCGCTCCCCAGAACGGCCGCGGGCCCGCTCCCCACCTTCCTCGTGTTGGAAACAGGTGTTTCCGCGCCCTCCCCGGCCCTCCGACACCGTATCCGTAACGGCGGCTGCCGCCGCAGGCAGACGGAGTCAGGCACGAGGAGCCGCGAGGGGAGGGAGAACGCCAAGCCTGGGCCCCGCGCCTCAGCCCCGCGCCCAGTCCGCGCCTCAGCCCCGCTCCGCCCTGCCCGCCAGGCGGCGCTGCCGCTCGCGCCTCTGCCGCTGCGCGGGTCCGCCCGCGTGTGGGGAGAGGGAGACGCGGCCTTCGTTTCGCGGTACCCCGCGGTGGGCCGGAGACAATAATGAGCAGTTCCCCCAAAGAACCCGAGAGCACACCGGCTGTGCCCCTCGAGTCTCCTCGTGCTGCAGCCTCGGTGGCTCTTCGCAGGGGTATATCAGAGGGTTCTCTTCTCCGCCGTTGGTTCTCTCCCCTCGGAAGGACTCGCACCTCATCGAGTCCTCTGTCGGACAGCCTCCTCCGCATCAGAGGCTTTCTCCCCTCACGGGTCTCCCGTCAGCAGGTAGCTGACCTCAGGAAGCCTCACCTCTCTGCGGGTCTCTTCCCCTCAGAGGGTCTCTCCTCTCAGCTCGCATTCTTTTGACCCCTCACGAGTGTCTCTCCTGCCTCCGTGGGTGTTTCCCTTCAGCGCTGAGCTCCCTTCAGGAGGACTTGCTCCCTTCAAGTCTCTTCCCCCCAGAGGGTCTGTTCTCTCCCTTTACGGGTTGCCCCTCAGCCAGCTTCCCTCTCCTCAGGGGTGGCTCCCCTCTGGAGGATTCAGCCCTCCGCGGGTCTCTTCTCAGTGGGTCTGTTCCCTCACACGTCACCCCTACGGTGGGTCTCCCCTCAGCAGGCAGCTCTATTCATGAGGACTCACCCCTCTGGAGGTCTTCTCCCCATCAGCAATGTTCCCCTCAGCGGTCTGTCCCCTCAAGGGTCTCACTTCAAGGGATCTCTTCCCCCTCAGAGGGTCTCTCCCCTCAGGAGGTCTCACTCCAAAGCCGCCGTTCCCCACATCTGCCCCAGGGCAGTGGGAGAAAGGCCCATGACATATAGCCCCCTTTTCCCACAGGCCAGGCAGTTCTCTGTTGTGAAGACCTGAAGGAAATTGTGATATTACCACATGGAGTATCCACACGTGCATCTGCAAAGGGTGAGGGATCTGGTTTTTTAATTGGAGGTGGGGGTGTTTTTTCCTGTCAGGGCTCTGGCTATAAAAGGGGTGTATTTGATGCAGAACTTGACACATGAAGCCTAAAGCCATGGGTGTTTTTAAAACATAGTCTGTTCCCGAGGTAGTAAAATCTGCAGAAGTGAGTGTTGGCTATTTGTCATGTATGGTTACATGACACTGTCTGCAGCGTTCAAGCACCCCACAGCAAAGATTGTATTTTTATTCCTGCATTTTCTGTGTGAAGACTCAGGTGTGGTTGAGTGACTGAGGGAAATACACTGTGCCTAATGAAAGTGAGAGAAGCGTACATCCCAAACGCTGAATAACTGCTGAGAATGTAATCCTGTAAACACTGTGAATGTAATGCACAAAATCCATATAATATGAATGATCCTGATACAATCAAATGCACTCTTCTGTAAAACAAGATTTTGTTGAAACTAGTGTGAATTTTGCCTCTGGATTGGTAGTGACCAGAATTTCACCTCGTTTATGAACATGTCTGGTGGTAGATCCTAGGGGTATTCTGAATAGAGAGGAAAAAACAGTTTTTTCATCAAAGGACTGGGCAAGCTCAACAGAGGCTTCTGTCACTGACTTCAGGAGGCTCTGAGTCTGTTACAATATCCTTAAACCTAAATCCATACAATCATTTAGAGGAATCCTTAGGAAACTGAAAAGGCAAACGATTTCAATTACATTACAGTAAAATCCAAGATAAAGTAAAAACCACAAACCTCTATGCTTAACTAATGCATAACAAAAGCAGAGAAATCCCTCATCCAAGCTGACATTCCTCACTTAACTCTCCATGATTATGGTCAGCTTTTGAAGTGTCCTCAATACATTTTATTGAGAAGTTGTACCGCCTGGTACAACATGTTCTTTTTAAGCATAACAGGATGCAGAAAAGGTAGTTTTCTCTTTTCTCTTTTGTCTTTAATTTCCTGGTTTGTTTACATTTTTACTAAGCTGAGGAAAAAGCACAGAGAGAGTTGTATCCTGTATTGTTTGAAGAGACAAGGTATGTATTTTGAATACGCAAATCTAGAATAACTTCTTTGAAAGAAGAAATATGTTTAGCTATTTTTTCATGTATGAGATAGAATACAGTTATGCACTCACCAATTACTTGAAGACAGACGCTTGTAAACCATTTGCATCACAGTGCATCATGTGTTACAGAGTTAATTTTCTGCTCTGCTGTGTTCTAGCTTATGCGGTGGCCCAGGTTTATTCTTTGGTTAAGGGCTGTGTTGTCTACCTTGGTAATGGAAAAGGTTACTGATGAACAGCTTAGCCTTTTGATTTACAGAAGAATAACCAGCAATATTTATTCTTGATTGGCCAAAATGAAACTTGCATACCCCTTGCCATATGCTGTAGAAGTGTCTGTTTAGCAAGGTAGTAAAAAAAATAACATTTATTTGCAAAATAAGTGCTATATGCAAAGAGCAACTGCATTTTGTATCTTGCAATGAAAACAGAAGAAAGAGCAGGACTGGGGTCAAAGCAATTAATTAATTAGAAAAGAAACAAGTGAATGCAATATCAGTAAGCCTAGATCCTTGTATATCCTTTGTCTGAGGCAATCCCATTTGGCAAAGAGAAGGTCAGGATAACTAAAAAAAAGAAAGTGAAGTAGGAATGGCCGTAAATCAAGAATGAGACATGAAGAATATCTGAAGAAGAAGAAACAGCAGAGCCTTGTGCTTCAATAAATAATATTTCTGCTTCCCTAGTACCTCCCACCTCTGTATCTCAAAACAGTTTATGTACGCTAATGAATTAAGGCCCACAACTAAGATCACTGTGCATTTGCTCTTCCCCAGTCTCTTTTTCCACTCAGATATGTTGTTCAGAGGATATTGATGTCTTTCTGCATTTGTTTGGGTTATTGAACGTGCAGCAGCTCTGCTGGAGCAGTAGCTCTCACCAAGCATCTGTATACCCAGAAACCAGACACGTCCACTCTGCATGTGCAAGGAGCCCTTCTGCCTTTTGTTGTGTGGCGACCATCTGTGCTGCACATGCAAGGAATGTCTGAGGTTTCCTGGCAGATAAACAGGGCAGACCCCTTTGTGAGGGGGTGAATAAACAAATTTTCTTAAGAGGGGTAGAGGATGGTTTATTGGTTTTTATCTTTGGTTGTTTTTACTTAGGCTAGTATTATTATCTTTTGTAGTACCACTTCCAGGTCTTAAACCCAGCACAGGCCCTGTTTGTGCCAGATACTGCATTAGGAAGTGTGTTACAAACATTGCTGCCCTCTCCTGTGAAAGGATTTCTAATGGAAGGCAACATGAATGAAGCCACAGGATCAATCAATATGTGAAAGTATGCATATATTTTTGTGGTGAGTTTAGAAGTGGTGGTGGAATTGAAGGATAAGGATAAGGATAAGGCTCTAGACTTGCCTGCCTGGATCTTAGAATCAGGTGCTTAAATGAATAATGTGATTTTCAAAAGGGGAAGTCCCATCCTCTCCAGTTGTTTATTTCAGTGTCAGACATGGATTTGCTGCTTGTAGTAATCCCAACATGAATTAACAGGTAGTAAGCAGAATTGTTCTGACTTACCTCGGACTCACATGAGCTTAATTAGCAGACAGTTCTTGCTTCTTAGATGGCTTTCTATAGAACTTAAGGGAACAGGTCACATACAAGCAGGTCTAAATGAACATCAGAACTTCACTGATCCTCATGTACACAGCTTTACCTTATTTCTCCATTTGGAAACTGGAGGTGCTTATTCACTCTGAGAAGCATCCCTTTTCTTCTTATGGCTAAGTGTAGGATCAATTCCTGACTTGAATTATAGACATTCATACCTTTACAAGTACCTGATG